CCATGTGAGAATGTCCCTTGAGCTGAGTGGGCCCTTCTCAGTTGCAGAGCACGTTCCTCCTTGCAGCTCCCAGATGATGGTCAGGGAGGCCAGGGACAGAGGGGATCACCACTATGGCCCATATAGGTCCTTCTGTGTCCACGTGGAGCCCCTTCAGCCTCCGGCACTGAGAACGCTGAGTGGGAACCCAGTCCAGGATCTCCCTCCGCGAAGCCCTGGGTCCTCCAATGCTCACATCACAATGTCACGGTCTCCTTGTACTTGCCACTCAGCACTTTTGTGATCTGTCCCTTCTTCCAGGAGGTTCACAGCCGCATCTCCACCCACATCCCCTTGATCATCCAGTACTACGTCCTGCAGCTGTTTGGCCAGCACCTACAGAATGCCATGCTGCAGCTGCTGCAGGACAAGGAGGGCTGCGCCTGGCTCCTGAAGGAAAGGAGTGACACCAGCGAGAAGAGGAAGTTCCTGAAGGAGCGGCTGGCTCGGCTGGGCCAGGCCCGGCGCAAGCTCGCCAAGTTTCCCTGTTAACCTGGCTCCCGGGCCTCAAGGGAGGACGCCCTGAGCCTCTCCTGAAGGCCAAGCGAGGGAGATGGAGTCTCTCAGCAGGTTCTCAGTAGTCAGTGGCAGAGGCAGCCCTCTGTTCTTTATGCAGTATCACATGGGACCAAGAGGAGAGCAGTTTGATTGCCAGCCGTAAGAGGGCAGTCCCACCACAAGCACAGGCTGCAGACTGGAGGGAAGATGGCACCATCCTGAAGGGACAAGGCTATCTCTGTAGGGGCCACTGCTCATTCCGACTCCTTCTGTGCCAGGAGGTAGACCATGAGGCTTAGCCGCCAGAAAGGTTCCTTCCTGTTCTCTCCACAATGTCCTCTGGAACCAGCCTTGTAGCAGTGGCCTGGGACTTGCAGAGCCCTGGCTTCCTCTGAGCAAATGTGTGAGCCTTGTGTTTTTGCAGGGAGGCCAAGCACAGCAGCAGGAGGCACAGGTAGCAGTAAGTATGGGCTCTAAGCTGTCTGTTGGTGGCTTGGTAGAGGGAGGGATTATAGCAGGCTCCTCCTCTGCTGGGCTTTGGGGTAGAGGATATGTTCAAAACTATGCCCACACTTGGTTGTACAGCTGGCAGCAAGCCTGCTAGTTGCCAGCGCAGAAGAGCCAAGGGAAGACACTGAGTACTGGGCTCAGCTAGGGACCCCAGCCAGACGGCAGGCAACACGTGCACCATTTCCTCCCCAGGGGACTGTCCAGTCCCTTGGCTTCTGTGTGGCCAAGACAGGCAGCACCAGCTATGTGCTTGGGTTCCACCCTTCCCCGGCCTGCTTCTAGGTCCTCCCTGCACCAGGCCCTCCCTCCTACCGGACCTGTCAGATGGCAGGATGGGGTCAGATTCCTACGGAGCATTGTAGGGAGCAGATGGCATTGGAAATTGGCTACACATGTGGGAGAAGGTGAGGCTGGTCTGGGAATGAAGAGTGCCTAGAGCAAGCAAGCTAGTTTGGTCCTGAAATAAAATACATTGCCTGAGACACTTATAGTCATTAGTCGCTATGCAAACCTATGTCATGGGATATGAACTTTTTGTCAAATATATAAAAATAAATTCCTATTGTTGTTTGTTCAGTTCTTTTCCTCCCATCAGAAGGGAGAGGGCTCCACCTGACCTCAATTTTCATGTCTTTATAATCCTCTTGCCTATTTTCCTTGGAAATACATAGAGCTACACAGGATGCAGCAATTGGTAAATGAACAGGAACTCGGGCAGTGAACACCGAGTGTGGGCATGCTTCTCATTTGCAAACAACGGGAGAAGCATGTTGGTTAGCACTAAAATTCAGCCCAGCACTGCATCAGAATTGGCAAAAATCAGGTTCGAAACTTGGGCATGGAGATCTAGTGTCCTTAAATAAAATTTAAAAGAAAAACGAATCTGGTTTACAAGAAGCTGGACGTGGGCTGGAGAGATGGCTCAGTGGGGCTGGAGAGATGGCTCAGTGGTCTAAAGCACCTACTTGAAACAAGCTTGGCAAAGCACAGGGACCGCGGTTCGATCCCCCGGCCCCCCTTGCCAGCCAGACCCGCCCCCTGCTGGGCTGAGCTGGCCACACACACACACACACAATAAATAAATGTAATAAATAAAAATAAATAAATATTAAAAAAAAGAATATTAAAAAAAACAAGAAGCTGGACGTAAAAGCATAAGAATGGGACAATAATCATTTTAAGAACCAAAGATGTATATCTATGTATAAGTTATTTGGTGTGATTGGTTCCTGTATTTTCTTTCCTCTGTTTTGGTTAGAAGTCATTTTCAAACTTCAAAGACTTGTCTCAGAGGACTATTTTAGGATCAATTCCTGAGCATGGAAAGGAGAGAGGAACCAAAGTCCCAGTGATTCAGTTTACACTCCAGCTTTGCTCAATCAAATCAGAAATGGTAGACATAAAAGAAAATCCTTCGGAATTGTGTGTGTGGCTGGCTCACGGTGGTGCCTTGCTTCCTGGGGTGGGGTGCAGGCCTGGTGCAGAGAAGGCCTGTGCTCTCATCCTAGGAGGACTCGGCCATGATTTCCCTGCTGCCCATGCACCTGGGCATGACACCCCGCTCCGACCACTGGCACAGCCAGAGGCAAAGTCCTTGTCGCCACTGCACATTTCTGACTCCAAAAGTTTAGAGGACACAAACGGCTCCTGCACTCAAAACTCCCTCAGCAGTGGAGCATTCAGGGTCCAAAGAGGGAGCTGCCTCAGGTGCTCCTAGTGATGGCATCAGCCAGCCACCATTGCCAGCCCAGGCTGCAGAGGTGCTGTGCACCAAGGCCCCTGTGGAGACTGAGTGTGGGTGCTGAGTCCATCCCAGGCAGTGCCTAGAAAGCCTCATACACCTTTTTCCTGACAGGGAGTTGACACTTACATGTGTCCACACAATACAATATACAGTGTAGTAAGAATGAACAAAACAGAAAAGAAGCAGCCAGGAAGGGCCCAGGAAGCAGTCATAAGCCTCAGCATTCGGCCTATTTGGCTGAACCACAAATTTCTCTGAGTTCTACAGTGAATGATGAAAAAGTAAACAGTTCGGTGCAGAAGTCACCATGTGTGTAAGATGAAAACAGCCCGTGTGCTGAGAATGACATTATCTGCAGTAGAACCTCGAACAACCCAGGGACTGGGACATCCATCTCCCATACGCACCCAAATCAAAAATCAGAGTATAACTTTTGAGGTCTTGAACATACAACTACTAATAATCTACAGCTGAACAGAATCTTCATCAACAACATAGGTGATTATGCTTACATATGTTCCGTGTATTGTCCACGGCAGGAAATGTGAAAATCACCAGAAACCTCATATTACTGTCATGCACAATTCACTGGAGCAGAAAAACTGCACAGACACGGATGATGAAGACTAACACAGCATTTTAGTAAGTGTGAGTGTATTCACCAGCTTTCCTGCTGCTGGTAGAAACACTTGATGCCCACGACTTAAAAAGAAAAGGAGTATTTTGCTTAAGGTTTCAGAGGTTTGCATCCTAGATAACTGGCTCTGAGTCAGAAATATCCTGGCAGGAGGAGGAGGAGGCAGAGGAAGGCTGCTCAGTGGTGCCCAGGAAGCAGAGGGTGAAGGTAGAACACACGCAGAAGGGGCCTGCGACCAGATGTACTCACCAGGGTCATCACCATCATCGCTCCCCCAACAGGACCATTTAATGTAGACCCCTTCTACAAGTTCAGCTCACCCACTGAGAAGCTTAGCACCCTCCCAACGCAGTTGCCGTTCCAGGGGCTCACAATCCAGTCAAATGGACAGTCAGGATTAGATGGTACAAGCTACAGCCCTTGCATCTACTATAGTGAGCATTGACTTCAGGCAGAAGTGATTTAATAATGTGCTGGTAGTTTTTGTCTCAAATACTAAGGATTGGACCCAGGAGGCACTGAACTATATTCTCACCCGTCTTAAACTTCTTCTAGGAGAAGCTGTCATTGAGCTGCTAAGGCTGGCCTCACACTTGCAATCCTGTTTGGCAGGGCTGCTGGGTCTTCCCTGGCCAAGGTCAGGATCTCTGTTTGCTCCCAGGAAAACTGAGCTCCTCAGGCACAAGCCCCGAGCAGTGCCAGCGCTCAGTGGTGTAAAGTGTTGATCCTGGAGAAACTAGGTTACCAGGGAACCTCTAAAGAGAGACTGAGAAATCCTCAGAGCCGTGGACTGTAATTGTCACTCCTCGAACTAGACTGGTAGTCATAGTTCAGAGTTAGAAGTAAAATACACCCTAGAGGAGCAAGTTACATAAAGCAGCGCCACGTCCAGTATGTGATGATATTGGGGGCAGGACGTGAAGGGTGAGTACTTGAATCCCAGTCAAAAATTCCCAAAATTCTGTCCACATTGTACCTTTAGCTGAAAACCAACACATGTGGTCCTTCAAACTTTCAGCTTTCAGAGAGTTAGGAGATAGGAGAAAGCCCTGAGAGGACCTGTCCCATCCCAGTGTGAAATTTCTAAGGTGCAAAAACAGACCAGCCACAGCAGTAGGTAGTGGCCCCAGGGTAAGTGATGGAAGAATCCGACAGTTTTACTGCAGACCACAGAGCATTATGTCACATGCAGTCGTAGTCGCAAGAGAGGGAAATGCCTCTAGAAATACGAATAAGAGGAAAATAAGAGACTATTCTCTTTTGGTGTTTTTAAAGAGTAAACCCTAACTTTCCAATCAATTTTAGCAAGAAGCTGAACTTGGTTGAGAGGGTGAGACCCACAGTTCAAAGTGAAAGGATGAAGAGCAGGTGATTGTCCCGAGAGTCCAGCCAAAGCAGGCTAGCAGAGCCACTTTTGTTGTAGGAGTGCTGGATTATTTCAAGCTTAGTTTTACATACTAAAGTTGTAGTTTTCAAGAAGGTCCCCAACCTAAAATGAGAAGTGCCAGGGAAATAGCTCAGTGGAATAAGCACTTGCATGGCAAGCCCAAGGTCCTGAGTTGGATCCCTCATACCACCCAAAAAACAAAACAAACAAATAAAATGAGAAGCATTTCTTTCTCTTGCTTTATTTTCCTAAAGTGATTGAAGTGTTTTTTTAAAATAAGATTTATATTTTGAGCTAAATTTAGGTCCCTGAAGTAATCCAGTACACATTTTATGCTTCTCTATAAAGCAGTTTTAGTTTGAGGGCACTGAATGGTAATTCCTGAGGAAATCCTTAGTGCCAGTTTCGTACAAGCACCTTTTAGTAACGTACCCATCTCAATCCTACTCTAGCTTACTAAAGCACCGATGGAAATGGGATCTACTGAAAGTCACCTGGAGCTACAGGGGCGCTGATCACCTAAGAAGGCTGAAGGGGAGAACCTTTTTCAGTGTGATGTAAACAGTGGTGTCTTCTTACAGAATGAGTGAAATGAAGTGGGCGTTTTCAACAGGGGAGCGCAAGAGTGAGACCCACGAGGCCGGGACCCGGAGTTGGGACGAGCTGGGATGGTCCAGGAGCGCCTAAGAGCTTCCGCCTAGAAACAGAGCTGAAATCCACTCAGCACGGCGCATGATACGGGCTACAGACTGGGGCCGTGTGTAGGGACTAAGATCGGGAATTGGTGACACTATTACTAGAAAATACATTCTATGATTGAAATGCCAAAGACACACTAAGTAAAAAACTAAACTTGCAGAATGTTACAAATGATCATTTTGCCTCTGAGCACATTACATATATTTATAAACAGGATTTTAAAAATATTATTTGTAAAGGGACTAAAGCTCTGAATGCTTGTGTCATCTTTCTTTCTTTTTTCCTTCATTCGTTGATTGATACTTTTCTGAAGACTTAATCCAGGGTATCCACAATGACCTGCATTTTTCGCCTTTCTATGAAATATATCTTTTTAATCCTGTAAATTTGGAAACAGGGTCTCTCTAAGTCACTAATTGCCCAGGCCAGGCTCAAAGTTAAGATCGTTGGGCCTCAGTCTCTTTCAGTGCTACAATTACAGCCCTCTGCTGCCAGCAGACTTTCTAACAGTTTTTCCTCTTCTTGTTATGTGGGTAACACATGTCTGAGTGGATTAAGTGATACGTTGCTTATGTCCATATAAGTGTATTTGAAATAAAAAAGTGTTGTCTATATTATTCCTTATAAAAACTAAAAAAATCAACAGAAACCACAGAGCATCAAGTGCTCCAGGCAGTCCCGAGCTCTGGGTGCAGCGGTGGCACCAGCGCTGATCTGCTGGGAGCTGTGAGTCCTCCTCTGCTGCTCCCATGGTGCCTGCTGTCTCAGTGAGGTGTTGTCTTGCCCAGGCCCTCAGGTACCTGTGTGACTTTGGGAATGAGCCCTGGCACTGTACTGGGAGGGTCTCGAGTCCTGGTCACTTCAGTGTGGCGGGCCATCCCCACTGAGGCACTTGTGACACTCCCGCAGACACGCTCTGCCACCTCCATCCCAGTGTATGCTTGTGAGCAGCTCGGCATTCACCTCAGAAGCCCACTGTCTTAGTT